ATTTCCAGATAAAGGAGCGTTACCCCGCGTAACTGTCACACTGCTTGCTTGACGGTCACGTGCAGATCGGCATGCCATGTCGGTGAGCCTTGCACACTGCTTATCACACTGCTTGCTTGACGGTCACGTGCAGATCGGCATGCCATGTCGGTGAGCCTTGCACACTGCTTATCACACTGCTTGCTTGACGGTCACGTGCAGATCGGCATGCCATGTCGGTGAGCCTTGCAAGGAATCAATATAACGCAACTTAGACTTTCACGTTGCGCCACTGTCATGGATGTCTCGTACACCGTGCTCTGGTCTCAGTGGCATCCAGGGTCGAGGTGATGGATTATCATTACATTACCCCGATGATGTTGTTTAGGTCTTAAACGTGGATGATGATTACTTTGATATTAACCAGTTTTTAATTGCCGAAACAATCGCAAGCTCCATTCATCGGGCGAAACAAACGGAATGTCATTTAGTTTGACCCATCCTGACAAATGAAGCGTGAGAATAATCATTATTGGAGCTTTAGGTCTCACCGACTGCCAAGACCATTCAGAGACGTGGACGAAACGTAAGAGAAAGTCGACATACTTCAGTGTTAACACGCGCCCAGTGGGTCAAATTGACCCCCCCCCCCTCACCCGAAGGTTTTTCCACAATGGTTTCCGAACGGCGCGGTGCAGCCGCGCCAGCTTTTGCATAGCTGTAGACAATTGTATAGCGGACCGTTTTACATCATCAATTTAGATGTATCTTGTAAGGTCGCTGACCTATAGCAGGTCAAAGTCAGGCCATGGTTTCAGCGAAGGCAATTTCTAGGGAATCGTCCAACCTGAAACAATAAAGGGGTGTTTGACAAAGCCATATATCTCTGAGATACTTTCTTAGGCACCTCAAATGTTGAATGAGCAAATTACGTTGACCTAAGGTCAGGTATGAAGGTCAGACCAAGGTCACAACCAATCTGATTTATTACTCTAGGGCTTGCTGTATGGGATAGTTTGTGGTGCTCATTGCAAATTTATTGGCAGCAAGAGCCGCATAATGCATCTTCCATTGGCTTCTTAGACGTCATAAAAGGTCATTGATCTAAAATGACCCGGGTCGACAAGTTGTTTTAGGAACATACTGTCTAGCGTAATGTTTATCGCTCATTCAAATGCAAAACTCAGATTAGTCTTGTATGATTTTGGTCACCATGACCTTCAAAAGGTCAAACAAGGTCACCGACCTCAAATGGGCTTTTGACGTTTTGCTTAGAAACAGTTGCCTAGGTTCTTGGGGGCACTTTGGAGACCAACCTGGAATTTGACATTTTTAACCTTATTTGACCTGAAGGTTATGAGCTAGTAAGCTCAAACATTGACCTAAGTGAGTTCACATACAGGTCAAGACACCCTGTAAGTTTGGTGTTTCTAGCTTTCTTAGTTCCCGAGATCTTAGGGGCGTCAAATTGACCCCCACCCGAGCGAAGGGTACCTAGCCGGCCACCCGGGCGCATGTTTATGGTAGAGGACGTAAGCACTACCCGACATTTTATTTCAAGTTTTGAATTCTGTGTTGCTCACACATCTGACCTGAGTAATGGGAGTCGGACATATAGACTGGGGAGTTGGGTCGGGATGGGAAGACCAACCCATCCCCAGTGAGGACGGTGTTGAAGCCACGTTAGCTGGTGAAAAGTTAATCTGGACTGGAATGACCTGTGTTTTTATTGGACTGAACAGGACTTGAAGCAGCAGGGGACAGCTAGACAAGCGACCGGCATAAGACTTTTAGTATGCCAAAGTTAAATATGCGGCGTTGTAGTAAAGCTGCCTATGTAAATAGCACAGACATCAGGGACACAAAGGCTCGATTACTCCGTGGTAACGGAATACTTCCCTATGCATCTATCTGCGCCAGAGATGCAAATCCCCGTCTTGATCATCCCATATGTGAATGTTTACGAGGGACTCGTCCATTATAGCAGCCACACGATATGTCAGTATTCAGCACAGAGTCGTTTACATTTCCTCACATTCTGCCGCAATGTAAGCTGCAATGTTAAGGCATGTATGTGCTCCTCGATATGCGTGTTTTCTGGTAGATGATAAAAAACCACTGCTGCTAAAAACGTGCTGCAAATCTATCAAATTGGAAAGTTTTTTACCGTGTTCCCAGGCAACTACTACTGTAAACAGAAAATAAGCGCATGATGAACACGTATTAAACACAGAATCGCATGCGTGAAGAAGTACGTGCTGTCGGAAATGTTCGTGCTGTACGTGTTGTGTACGTGTGTGTGTGGTGTTGTGTGTGTGGTGTGTGTGTGTGTGTGTGGTGTGTGTGTGTGGTGTGGTGTGTGTGTGGTGGTGTGTGTGTGTGGTGTGTGTGTGTGTGTGTGTGTGTGTGTGTGTGTGTGTGTGTGTGATGTGTGTGTACGTGTAATGTGTGTAAAATGTATGTGCTGAGAAACATGTTTAGGATTATAACCTACTGTAGAACAATTTTTGGCTTTTTTTGGGTCACGGGCGTGATTACAACTCTGAGATCGCGGGGACAATCAGGGCTGGAGGACAGAAACTGGAACTAGAGGGGACGACCTGAATTGAGAACGATATTTTGGATTGTAAGCCCTCATTAACAAAAATCCTACAAATAAGACTGGAGTGAGTGGGAATCACACACATGAGCAGACAGTGTACGGAGGACGGAAATCATGTTTTCCGTTCTCCAAGCTCCATGGAGGTTCCGCCATCATTAGGCATGACATGGCAGCCAGAAGACAGGAGATAGAGGATAGGTGGCAACAGGACATAACAGGACAGTTTAGCGCACGAGGCAGGATGAGGAGCACAGGGCAGGAGATGATTGGGTAAAATCTTGAAGTACGCTGAGCAGCAGCCGTCATGGGGACTTAACGACGCACTCAGCTGCTGAGGCTATATTGGCGTCGCCTGCCTTCCACCCTGGCGGGAAGGGCAAGCACCACGGGGAATTAAACCCCATACCGCTGGCTTCCCTGACGTGCAGTCATTAACGCAGACGCGTTAACCACTGCACTATCGGCGCCTTGGGGGTAAACCGGCAGATAATATAGGTCAAGACAGGAGTTATAACTCCGGAGGAGTTATAACTCCTGCCCGTTATATCCAGAAATCGTCCTCACGGGCGCCAGATATGAAAGACTCAGCAATTATGTTTTTCTTGGCATTGATCACCGCATGACTAATGGAATGTGCAGGATTTTAATGTCGATATTATAGTGTCATACACACTGGAGTTACCTTGAAATAGCCTCCTTGAAACAGTCTCCACATCTTGGTGACCGTGAGGGTCAAAAAACTAGAGGGCTTTATTTCTTAAGAAGGGCAGGGCTGTTAACTACACCGAATGATCCTCAACATGGCTGTTTAGCTTAAAAAAAACAATACAAATGTCGAGTGCTACCTTCAATCATTTTCGTTCTCTCTTCAAGTCACCAGCCATGTCCATGTGCCGAGTATACACACAAAGACTGACGACCTCAAGTCCCAGGGGTGTAGCTTCCTATTTAGCAGCAGTCTACCCTCCCCCACACTTAGACTCCGGTCTCCCCAAATTTGCGAAGAATGTGGGCAAACTCACAGAAAACCCCGTTTAGGGGCGTGCTTCAGGGGTGCGGCTCTTAAATTGTAACTGTTCAGCCCCGCTCTCCTGCCAATCCATGTTGCGAAACACGCCCTGTCACGTGATCTGCATCGAGTGGCATCAATAATTTTGTGCCGTCTTATGGTGCTTACTAGGCACACTTAAGATAAACACAAATGTCTCACGTATGAGGTTTCCCCCTCGAACTTTGAGAAGAGAACAGGCTAAATTCGTGGAGGAACCTATTTGCTGTCGTGATCTGGTGGCAATAGAGGTTATTTCTCACTTTTCAGCAGCTCACCTCCACCTGATAATTTTGTAAAACTACGCCGATATGTTTGTACAGCTTGTTTTTGATGAATCATTTAGCAATCATGACGTGCTATTTTGCCCCACACTCTTCACTGCTCCTCGCCATCAATGACCCTTATATGGGCAAGAACGTCATTTATGTCGAACTGCAAGCGCTTGTTTGCGGGGAATCCGGTGGAGATGATCTGACCTCAGCCGTGCACTTGAAAGCACTTAGAGTTTTACATGTACATTTCACTCGCCTCCTTCAGCATCATTGCCCTCTGATCTTCAAGCTGACTTCAAGAACACTTACTTCTATGCTGCCACCGTGCCGTTGCGCTATTATTATGGGGCCTTGCCTGCCACCCGTCGCGCACCCCGTCTATAGCTATAGTAGCAGTATGTTTTATTGTTTAGGTTTGGCCATTATCTGTCAGCTCAGCGATAAAACTTCGCAGTTCGTAGCCTTGCATCAGCTTTTCTCCACCAGTGGCGTTTATTATGTATACCGAAATAAATGCGCTCTATTGACTCATCTGTACTGCCATTTGAAACAGACTCGTATTTCACTCTGTACCGAGACCTTGTGAAGACCGATTTTTGGAACAAAATGAGCAGGCAAACCTGTATGTACGTGTACGCAGAAGATATAAGCTAGATGCTTAAGTGTCTGGTGCTCAAATAAACGTCACAAATAATGATTGTGATGTTTGGTAATTTTTCTAGGGTAACAGTTGCATGAGAAGCTGTGGTTTTAAAAGCACAAAGGGGGTTTTAAGTGACGTTGGTTGAGAATTCTTGTCAAATAGGGACTGTTAGTGAGCCCTCGCCGATAAGGCTTCCTTCGACCTTACTCTAAACGCTAACCGGACGGGGTCGCATGCGAGGCGTCCGAGGCCGCTTTCACTCGGTTGTAGCATGTCTTAGTCTTCGAGGTAGCAGGGGATTTGCGGATGTGGTGGCCGGCTGACCGGAGGAATTAAACAAGAAAAAACCCACGTACCCGGGGTGTCTGGTGTACGGCTCACGCCGATGCTAACAACACCAGCCACCGTTGCCAGAAGATTGGAAAATGACGGATATGCTAGGACCCGTAGTAGGAAATGCGTGACATAATTCAGGGGTAGGGAAAGCGGAAGTTCTTTGCGTTTTGCAGCGAGCCACTATGAAGTGCGATGGGTTTATCCTGAGATGCCTGTTAACGTTTTCTGCAAGTATCTGAACGTTTTGAGGCTGGCAAATTTTTTCAGAGGAGCTGAAAGTTATAACGAAGAATTATCAATCGTGAAAACGAATAAGGTTTGAATCGCTTTCGCAGCTGGCCACGTGAAACCGCTGCTGTGCGAGGTCATCATGACCTGTGGCCAACCGAAACCAATCGTTGCGCGCAAACGAACGCAAATTCAGTCGCTCTAGACGTAGCACATGACAATTTCGTATGAAAACGTATTGCAGCCAGTCAGCTATGTTGCCCACAAGTTGCCAGCTTTATAACAAACTAAGCAAAACTCGCCCGTCCAGCGGCCTTATTCCTTACGAGTGCGACATATTTCCAAGTCCGTATATCTTACTCAAGTTCACCAGAAATTGATACAGCGCATGCAATTTAGCGATAACGGGATCGTCGCCGCCGGCTGCAAATGGAGCCCCGCGGCCGCTCCGTCGGCCGTGCCGCCATTGCTGGTGCGGATCGGCTGACTCTCCGGCGCCGGACTGGCTCCGACGACCGCCGAGGCGAAGTCCTGTCAGGTGCACTATGGCGCCGGCCTCGAATAGCAGCCAGGGCAGGAATGCCACCAGCACTGCAGCGTTCGTCGGCCGTCCTACCGTTCTCGGTAGGCCTCCGTCCTACCGTTCTCGGTAGGATCCCGTCCTACGTTCTCGTAGGATCCTCCTACCGTTCTCTACGGTGACCCATGTTTACGCCTGCCGGCTGGGCTCTGCTTTATGGCCATCACTTTAGGTTCAACAGGGCAGTGCATGTCGCGAAAAAAACTGGCGCGTGATCAGCGACAGCGACGAAACCGGCTCGTAATCGTCCACGGGATGAATTCGGCGCGTGGTCATTGATAGGTCCGGCGCCGTGACGGCCGACTGTCGACGATAACAGCACGTTGGCGGCGAAACAGCCGCGGGCGACGGCCGTCGCCCGCGGCGGCGTCTCAGCGGCGTCCGGCCGCGCGTCCCACCCCCCGGCGGCGCCTCCGGGGGTGTGCTGTCCTGAGCAGGATGTGATCTTGGCTGTGTGCATTCACTGCCCGCGGATATATTTGCTTGGTGAATGTGAAAGAATTTAAAGTAGGATCGGCATGGTGGTTTTCTTTGACATAACGTGCGTCACAGTTTCATAAAACGGTTTCAGTCGCTAATTTACAGGCGAATGCAAACGACGAGTTCCGAGAGCACGTACACTTTTTGTTCTTTACGACCTCTTACCTGAACAGGCTAAACATACCCAAGCCAGTTATGGAGCTGCACAATGGGTTGGCGAGTTCACGAAACCACTGGACTCTGACAGCCTCATATGCGAACGGCGAGCTGAGGTGATGGCAAACCAGTGCTGCTTCAGTCCTATTTGGTTTAATGATGGACCCCACGTCTGTAATACAGAGAGAGAGAGAGAGGAGAGAGAGAGAGAGAGAGAGAGAGAGAGAGAGAGAGAGGAGAGAAGAGATAGAGAGAGAGAGAGAGGGAGAGAGAGAGAGAGAGAGAGAGAGAGAGAGAGAGAGAGAGAGAGAGAGAGAGAGAGAGAGTAGAGAGAGGAAAAGGTATATATATATATATATATATTATTATATATATATATATATATATATATATACTGCTGCTCTTTACTGTGCGGGAACTTGGGAAAATTGACGGTCTCTCGTAACCGGGATGAAACTCCTGATAAATAGCCCCCCGCCCGGTAAAAACTGCGAGAAGAGGGTTCGTAGCACGGCAAACAAAGGCTCGTGAGTGGAGAGAGACTACCGAGTGGCAACCATAGACGATGAACACTGGCTCGTATCATTGGGTGATGATATCGTCCCCATGCCATTATGTACATCGGATGTTTGGCGCCATGAGAGTTGGGGGGCGCTGAATGCCAGGAGAGCAGGAGAGCTACCAATTTAGTTCCGTAGAACCAATGGCAACCGACTAGATATTGTCCCGTCTAAAAATGGAAGAATGCAACAACAAATCTAGACTGCTGGAAATACAAACAGACGAATCAGCACAAAAGGATATCGTCTGATAGTAATTTGTTAATCTTTTTATGGTACCAGTCATGTGACGAAGTGAAGATACTTAGCCTCAGCGACCCGAAATAATACAACAGCGGCTAGCTCAGCTGTCTGCGGCCATGAAGGCTTCGGCACCGCCCCGTCCCTTGCCTTGAACCGCACCTCCCTCCCTCCCCACTGTGTGGCGAACACTCCTTCCCAAAGAACGCTGCAGCTAGCCACACGCTCTATCGTTGCAGACAGCAACTTCGTGCTGGGCAATGCCAAGGTGTCGTCGACGTTCCCGATCGTGTACTGTTCGGACGGCTTCTGCGAGCTGACGGGGCACGCTCGCGCCCAGATCATGCAGAAGGGGTGTGCGTGTCGCTTCCTGTACGGCCCGGACACGGCCGAGGAACACCGCCAGCAGATCGAGCTGTCGCTCGAGAGCAAGACTGAGCTGAAGCTCGAGGTCATGTTCTACAGGAAAAACGGTAGTCTGCCAGGCGGGCGCCAGTGGCCGCTGGTGACTGGGTATGGGTGCTTTGCATCAAATCTGTTCAGGCGGGAGAGTTCTAACGCAATTGATCAGGAAGTACCGTTGTGACCGGTACAGTGTTATCTTACGCCGGCTGCAAGAGCATAGCTATAGTTTTTTTTTTAGTCGAACCTGGGCGTTAATGTAGATGGGCGTTGGTGTAGTCATCGTGCTTGGCACTTATTGCTTGGATTTTTTGTTCAGAATTCAATGCATCATTTCTAATTATAATAATAAACCGGCTTACCTGAAAAGTGCCGTAATATATGGCTAGCATGCTGAACGTGCATGCTATTTACGTAGTTCATTTTCTCACTTCTCAGTAGGGAGCGACGCGGCCCTTTTTGGCTTCCTAATGACCGTGTCAAGTTCCTTTGCCGCTTCTAGGCAGGGGAGGCGCTTCTGGTCACCAATTCATGGACGATTCCGTAGATAAGAAAACAAAATGGCCGGCCCACTCGCATGGCGGCCCTGTGTTCGCTGATGTACGCCTGCATCCACCGCGACGCGGTGTTTTAGGCTCGCCCTTCTGGTGCCTGCTGGACATCGTGCCGATCAAGAACGAGAAGCGGGAGGTGGTGCTCTTCCTGGCGTCCGCACAAGGACATCACGCCGACCAAGGTGGCGCAGATGTCCTCCTTGCCGTATGAGGAACCCGAGGAGGAGCGGTTGTGCGGCGACGGAGAGCACGGTACGTCACGGGTGACTCTGACGAGAGCACGGTGCGTCACGGGTAACTCCGACGAGAGCACGGTGCGTCACGGGTAACTCCGACGAGAGCACGGTGCGTCACGGGTGACTCTGACGGGAGCACGGTACGTCACGGGTGACTCTGACGGGAGCACGGTGCGTCACGGGTGACTCTGACGGGAGCACGGTACGTCACGGGTGACTCTGACGGGAGCACGGCACGTCACGGGTAACTCGGGCGCGGGTACGGTGCGTCAGCGAAACTTTGACGAAGCACAGTGCTTCACGGGTAACTTGGAAGGGGAGAAGGGTGCGCCACGCACTGCGCCTTCCGACAGACACGGCGACGTGTGTCAACCTGCTCGAATTGGTCTGCTCCTGGATGTACTGACTAATTATCTTCTGGTTTTAAAGAACAGAGAACGTCCAACGTAAAATGGTTCGGGGTCATTTACTTGAATGATTTTTAGTTATGGCATGGAACGAGGCGCGATCTCGCGGATCCCATAATTTTCTTGATCATAGCGCGGCTGAGGGCTCCAGTCCCTCCCCGTGGACACGCCTCGGGGAGCGGCCCTAAGGCCAATCATCGCCTCAACGGAGATCAATGCTGCTGGCCACGATCAATGAGTGTCTGCGCGTTGTTGGCACATTTACTGATTGTGCGTTGTCATATGTAAATAAGAATCGTGGCAAAAACAAACCGCATACCTTTTCCATTTTCAGGCATATGCGGGAATATTAATGCAAAACTTCTCACATTCTGCCCGCAGTTGATATCTGTTGTTACGTTACCACCTTTGCCTTTAGGTGTCATTTTTCCTCCAGTCCCGTGCAGTTAGAAAACGAAGCACGGTCCCTTGAGCAGCGGCTTGATCTGCTCTTGTCCCGAGGACGATTGGGGAGGGGGGGGGGGGGGCAGCGCGTGATCCGGGTCCGCCCTGAGTACGGTTCGACCTCTCAGATCCGAACGGTAACGAGCTGGACGTGGAGGCTCCGCCGATCAACTACCAGCGGCGTCGGTCCCGCGCCGTGCTCTACCAGCTGTCCGGACACTACACGCAGGAAAGGAAGTCCAAGATCAAGCTCAATAACGTAAGACCGCCGCACGCTACGTCGGCCGCCTGGGGGTAGTTCAGTTCAGTGGCAGCACTCGCGGGTGGTGATGATTGTGGGTCGGGCCATGGGAGTCGCCGAAGGTTGGAGTTTCATGGTCTGCTCATTTGGACCAGTTGGTGTCTGTGAGGATGATGTGGTCACGCGAGTTGGTGTCTGTGGGGATGATGTGGTCACGCGAGTTGGTGTCTGTGGGGATGATGTGGTCACGCGAGTTGGTGTCTGTGGGGATGATGTGGTCACGCGAGTTGGTGTCTGTGGGGATGATGTGGTCACGTGAGTTGGTGTCTGTGGGGATGATGTGGTCACGCGAGTTGGTGTCTGTGGGGATGATGTGGTCACGCGAGTTGGTGTCTGTGGGGATGATGTGGTCACGCGAGTTGGTGTCTGTGGGGATGATGTGGTCACGCGAGTTGGTGTCTGTGGGGATGATGTGGTCACGCGAGTTGGTGTCTGTGGGGATGATGTGGTCACGCGAGTTGGTGTCTGTGGGGATGATGTGGTCACGCGAGTTGGTGTCTGTGGGGATGATGTGGTCACGTGAGTTGGTGTCTGTGGGGATGAAGTGGTCACGCGAGCCGCTGCGGTCGATGTTACAGTCACTGCTGCAGCCGGGGTCTACAGCACCCTTGCCCGAGTACAAAACTTGCGGTCGATGTTACAGTCACTGCTGCAGCCGGTGTTTACAGCACCCTTGCCCGAGCACAAAACTCGCGGTCGATGTTACAGTCACTGCTGCAGCTGGGGTCTACAGCGCCCTTGCCCGAGTACAAAGCTTGCGGTCGATGTTACAATCACTGCTGCAGCTGGGGTCTACAGCGCCCTTGCCCGAGTACAAAGCTTGCGGTCGATGTTACAGTCACTGCTGCAGCCAGGATCCACAGCACCCCTGCCCGATTACAAAACTTGCGGTCGATGTTACAGTCACTGCTGCAGCTGGGGTCTACAGCACCCTTGCCCGAGCACAAAACTTGCGTTCGATGTTAAAGTCACTGCTGCAGCCGGGGTCTACAGCACCCTTGCCCGAGTACAAAACTTGCGGTCGTTGTTACAGTCACTGCTGCAGCCGGGGTCTACAGCACCCTTGCCCGAGTACAAAACTGTGTCAGCCCAAACGATCGAAGTTCGTCCTCTCTCATTATGGTGAGTGCTTCAGGCAACTTGCGGTAAGTGGTTCCGTCAACTTCTGCTCCGCTGCCGTAACCGGGGCTGATAAGATTCTCATTTTTTAAGCCTCTTAATATACTGACTGAAGCTTTTAAACCAATGGTTTTTAATTGACGACGGGTGATGCCTGAAATCCAGCCCATTTGAGACTGTGAGTAAACGCATGAGATGCAGCAAAATTTGTGAAACGGGCTGGTCGTTCTCTGGTGGGGCCAAATTCGTATTTATTTGCTGTATTGTCCGAGGACATCAACCCGAAATTCACACTTACCACAAATTTATCAGCTGTACTGCGGCTTGACTACATGAAGTATCTGTACAAGTCTGAGTTAATTCAGCTTCACAACAGCACGGCAAGGAGTGCGACAGACACCATGTTGGTATGACAAGAGCGGACAATGGCGAGCGGCTGTGCCCGACTTCACCCGGTACTAACATTGTCCCCGCGAGCACTATAACACTGTTTGGGAAATCCGTACAAGATATGCCAGGGACTGGGCCAGGAAGACTTTTGTCATTCGAGAGAGCCGAATGCACCTGCCGTGATTTGGCCGCGGAACAAGCCTGGGCGTTACGCGACGTGGCTTGGCAGAACAAACTAGGATTTAATCTTAGGATATGCAGATATTTTCCCGCTTTAGGAGACATGGTGAATTGAATGAACGATGGAGATCAGCATGCTGAAAAGTATTATCTTTGTTTGGTCCGTATATTGAAGTCATTCTTGCAACATTTGATGCCGCCGCTCTTAAAAACTGTTGCGAATTGTGCGCCAAGGCATTCGTTAAGATTTTCGCCAAGGGTCAAGTTTCCCGACATTTTTGAAACGTGGTTGCGAGCGCACGGGCTGAGGTCGGTTTTCTACTTGAAAAAATGATCGTCGCTTTGCTGACCCTGCTAATCGCGCCCTGCACCCTAACCTAACTTCCACTACCAAACCACACCTAACTAACAACCACCTAACTTCTGTCCAAATTGGGAAACCTCGGTGTTCATAGCTTCCATGTAGTCTTCTTGCACTCCTTTCCGACGTATGGAGGAAATGCCCTGTGGATATTACCATGGCACGGGCTTGTTTGCCGTTTTGTCCTCTGGCTTTAACTTCGTGGAAGTGCTCTGGTTCTCCCCAGCTTCTCCTATGATATCTGCCGTCATTTCTGAATTTCTGACAGACTGCCGCTCTTGCAGGAATTTTTAAGTCCTGCTGGGACTGGCTGATCCTCGTCGCCACGTTCTACGTGGCCGTGGTTGTGCCGTACAACGCCAGCTTCGTCATGGATCGTGACAGGCCGTCGGTGGTCAGCGATGTCGTGGTGGAAGCGCTGTTCCTCATTGGTGAGTGTTTTGGCACTTGCACCAACACCAACAGACGCGCCTCACACATCTCATCGGCTCACTGCGGTGCGTCGATAGGGAAACGGAGAGTGAGAAAGCTAGCGCTTGACCCAAACTGCACATACGTGGTGCTAAATGCAGGTTTGTGGTGAGGTAAATGACATATTTAGCTACGTCTACGTTCTACTTTAGAGGGAGGGAAGAAAACACTTTGAAGTCAAAAGCAGGAAGTAAAAAAACTTCTGATGGCTGCTGTTTAATGTAACATGCAAAAGACCCGCTTCATTTGCTTGCATTTTGATTTATTTCACTTTTTCTTTGTTCGGAGCACCGTGACGTACTCATTTTCTTTTGATGCGGTGATGTAGGACTATGTTATGGCTGGGCTGCGGGTGGGTCACTCCTGATAGCTTGATCATTGGTGATAGAAATAAAGAAAATACATTTGGAAAAACTGCGGCAGAAAACACGTTTACTATCAGTGGCATCGATGTCTGTAGATAATGGGAAAGGGGAGGGACCTCTGACCTCTGTTTACTATGCCCGCGTTCAGCCATTATTGGTCCGCCAACAATGGTGCTAAATATCGTCTGTTGGGGCCAGTTGCCAGTCCGGCATGAGATGCAGTCTTGTTACATCAGTTTGAATATCGCATGGCTGGATATCCGAGCGCGGCGGCAGGACATTATGAACAGCGCGGCATGGACACGAGGTGCACCGGGCAGGGGAACCTTCTTCGACGTTGGTGGCCAGTGAGCATCACGTGCCTGCTGCCGGTGTCCGAGATAGGCGCCGCGGTGTAACATCGCAGCGGCGGGAGCTATGTACAACCAAACGGCACGGTACTGGGGTGTGTGGGTGTGGTCCGCGTGGGCAGCGGCCATCACCATTGACAGGGGTGTGCAACTTGCATACTTATCGTGCGTTGTGCTGCAGACAGACTCTGTAGTCGGCAGTCGTCGGCTTCCGAGAAAACTTGCTCCACCGATGTCTAACAGTTTCGGATCTGCTATCCAACTTGAACGTTCTTCAAGTTCCCGGCATTTGTTTTTTTGGGACATTGCTGCTGCCTTCGCGTTTGCAGAGGTCTGAGATTTGTGGATCAAACCGCCGGCTCAGAAACAGCATGGATGCCTCACTCCGCCTGGATCTGCAGTGGTCCTATACCTCTAGCCATAGTGTATCACAGTCCTTCACCAGCTGCTGAGCCCTGTGCTAGACTGCTATCGGAATAACTTCGTCAGCGCCGTCCTGGGCAGCCGAGGTCGCCCAGGTTCGTATTGCCGCCGCAGCTGTGCAATGCAGTCTAGTGTTCCCTGTCGTCGTGACATACGAATGCATGCATGCGTATGGTTAGCATACTGCTCGCTATACATCAAGAGTTCACAACGCTTGGCTACCGATCGGATGCCGCATGGGATCACCCTGGGATCACCTTCGACGTGAGGACACGATCACCGGTGCCAAAATACACACCTTACGTGTCAGACTCGCGGTAGCCGCAGGTCAGACTTGTGGCGGGTGTCTCTTCGCTGGCGTGGCTGGTGTACTACGTATGGTCAAGCCTTTCGGGTTAGGGGGCACAGCCGGTCGGAAAGCCAGGGAACGCCTCCACCTTTGTGCGAAACGTTGTCTGGGCGAGTGATGTGTGGCGAATGCGACGTCTTTTCCCAAAGCACGCAACTTTTGCACCTGTGTGCGGTTCTCGCATTAGGATCAAACGAATCGTTTTTTTCAAAGGGCAGAAAGATAGAGGAGGAGGAGGAGGAGGAGGAGAGAGAGAGAGAGAGAAAGAGAGAGAGAGAGAGAGGGAGAGAGAGAGGAGGAGAGAGGAGAGAGAGAGAGCGAGAGAGAGAAAAAGAATGTGTGAGAGAGAGAGGGAGAGAGAGAAAAATGAGAGCGAGAGAGGGAGAGACAGTGAGAGGGAGAGAGAGATATAGCAGGCATTCATAGTTGTGCCCTGTGCGGAAACGGAATCAGAACAAAACAAAACGTGATCGTGTGTTAAGTGTGAGGTTGAGTCGGCTCAACGTGCAATGCTGATCAGAACAGAGTCGGAATTAACCTCATGTGTTGCAAGTCTAAGTCGAATGCATTCTGCTGCAGCGGAATTAAGCTCAAACCTTGCCGTGGTAAATGGAGTCCCTGTTTTTTTGAGTGTGCAGAATTCTTTGTTTTCGCCAGTGGAGCCCCACTCTCGGATGCGAGTCCCTGTCGGCGGCCGTCCCATCACCAGTGCAAGCGTTTGGCGTTCGTCTGTGGGCCGGCAACGCTAGCTGCGGCTCGTGGAGCCCCAATCACCGGTGGGACTCCTCGGGCCCGGCGCCGGTGTCACGTTTCTCCCGCCGCAGCTGAACGCCGGCTGGCAGCGTTTTTCAGAGTGCCGTTCTGGCCGTTTTCGCAGCCGGTGCGGCGCGCCCGACCCGCGCGGGTCTGATCGATAGACGACGGGCTGGGCCGTGAAGGCTGCCGACACCTCGCGTAATCACACACGGCTTTGGGCGTGGCGCAGCGCCGCCCGACAACGGCCTGGCGCCGCGATGAGAGCGGTCTCCAGGCGATCCGTGTCGCTGCGGGCGGCGGGGACCCTGGACACACCGTGTCCCTCGACGGCCGCTCTGAATAACGAGGTGGGAGGGACGTGGAGCGGTGAGGGGACCTGCCGAGACAGAAGACGGCCGTGCGGTGGAAGCGGCGAAAGGATGCGTTCTGAATTACCGGGTGGAACTGGTGATAAAAAGAAACTTTGTTTGCCAATCGACCGGAAACAAAAGTCGAAAATTGGGACAACTATTATCAAAGCTCCCAAGCGATCCAGACCACCCAACTCTTCAAGCTGAACACTGCTCTCTTCTTGCCAAGTCTCGCTAGAGTGAGCTGATCTGAAGTGCGTGACGGTACATCAACTCTTGGGCCTGTGAGCGACTGAGTTTAGATATGCCTATAAATATACTTAACTTCATCAATCAAATTTCAGTGAGAATTCAGTACTGGTTTCATACTGGAGCGGCAACTGGAGGAGCGTAGCCATGATAACATGGTCGCTAGGTTGGAATTTTTCACTGATTTTTGCTCAGCCAGAACTTGCTGAGGCTTAAACAGTACAAAGGGTCAAATAACTAGAATGATTCGCGAAAGTTTTGTCGAGAACAAGGCGAGTCACTCAACAGATGCCGCTGCAGCGCGGCATTTGCTTGCGCTGTTTCTAACAACTTGCTTTTCAAATACATTAACAATTTTTAACTTATGCCAGCCAATTACAATTTATCCAACTTTACTTCCTTACAAAAATCATGTAAACCCCTGCAGAATATTTCTAGCCAAAAAGCAAGATAAGGGTTGGTGGCTAGAAAACAACGCTGAAACTTTGTTAAAAGTTTAAGAAAAGTTTTGCGCCGTAATCCTTCGTCCAAGCACCTGTCATTGCCCTTCTTTCTCGGAGGTACGCTTTTGCCTTCAATGTGTATGTGATAAGGCAACAGTGGCCTACTGTGCGTCATGATTGCTTTCCTCAAGCTGCATGCGACGCCGGTGTGTCATTAGAGGGAATTTGAAGATATCTTCCCCAAACCTTGGTAGCTCGACTCCACTCGATTCGATTCCACCCGATATTACATGTCACGAGTGCATTATAAGATGATGACAACAATCAGGCACCGCACTGTGGGCGCGGCCGCAGCCTCCCATGTTTCCAGGTCGCCCTCTGACGTTCCGTGGCCAACTTTCCCTAATCCAGCAGCGCCGCCAGCTCGTCCACAGCGAACTCCTACTGCAGACACTTCAGCAGCCGGTTATAACGTCAGTGACAGAGAGACAACACCTGATTGTATTTGTCATAGAAGGTGTCCGTTTGTGGGCGTAAATTGACCACATCTATGGAGTAAGTCAGGTGGTTGATTGTCTTGGTTGCTAGCTGGAGCAGGAATAATAATATCGTGCTTACAGATACTAGCAAAGCACATGTAGCTCTCATCAGCCCATCTGGTCGCGAGGGACAATTTAGCCGTTTTGAACTTGACCAGTGTTAGAAAACACCGTTATTCATTCCGAGCGGTACCTTGGAGCTCTGTTACTGCTGACCCGTGTGAGCAGTGCTGGGCGCCCCATGTACCATACGCGGCCCATACGGGCCCATACGCGTGTTCGTAGGCAGAGCTGGCTTTCGGCCCGAGCGAGCTCACCACATTAGTGTGTGATACGGGAGAAGTGAGACCTCCGGTCAGGTGCAGGTGCGGCACCCTGGGGTACCGGCGGGTCACCAGCGGGGCTACATGTCATCCCCATTAGCGCTCTGTACGGAGCAGCGCCGCGCCGCATTCTGAGTGCGGTATGAGCATGGCCCACCTCGTGCGCGGGTTGACACGTCAGGAGGCAGCCGTGGCGTCCCTCAGCGGCGGGCGCCGGGAGGCAGCGGTGGCGCCCCTCAGGAGAGGGCGTCAGGAGGCAGCGGCTGGCACCCTGGGGAGCGGGCACCAGGAGGCAAGCGGTGGCGTCCCTCAGGGGCTGGCGTCAGGAGGCAGCGGGTGGCGTCCCTTAGGGGCGGGGCGCCAGGAAGCAGCGATGGCGTCCCTGAGGAGCGGGCGCTAGGAGGCAGCTGTAGCGTCCCTCAGGGGCGGGCGCCAGGAGGCAGCGGTGGCGTCCCTGAGAAGCGGGCGCCAGGAGGCAGCTGTAGCGTCCCTCAGGAGCGGGCGCCAGGAGGCAGCGGTGCCGTCCCTTAGGGGCGGGCGCCAGGAGGCAGCTGTAGCGTCCCTCAGAAGCGGGCGCCAGGAGGCAGCGGTGGCGTCCCTGAGGAGCGGGCGCCAGGAGGCAGCTGTAGCGTCCCTCAGGAGCGGGCGCCAGGAGGCAGCGGTGCCGTTCCTTAGGGGCGGGCGCCAGGAGGCAGCTGTAGCGTCCCTTAGGGGCGGGCGCCAGGAGGCAGCTGTAGCGTCCCTTAGGGGCGGGCGCCAGGAGGCAGCGGTGCCGTGCCCTAGGGGCGTGCGCCAGGAGGCAGCGGTGGCGCTCTCCAGGAGCGGGTACTCCCTGCGGCCTGCCGAAGGCAGCAGTGCCGAGGTTCCCGTCCGGAGCCCTTGGAGCTCTGGTGCACCGGGTACGAGCTGCCACAGTGTGTGGGCCCGGCCGACCGGCCAGCTTAGGGTGTCAAAACTGTCCCAGCAAAAGGCGATCTGGGCAGTAAATTGTCCTCTCAAAAGCACCGAAAAATAACAACATGGTTGGAAAATTTGATCTAGGTATGAACGAACGAATTCAGGGTTGATAAACAGGAAAATGTGCTATGTTCCACCAAAGTCGTGAATTGCAATACACTGGGTCTGCTGCTCGGCTGCCGCTGCATTGCCAGCCGTCTGAAGCCCAAGGGTCATACTGTCACGCTGTGTCGCCTTCGAGCTACAGCTGACATTCCGGACTATGTGTGCTTCGTCATGTTCTGCGACCCTGGCATGCGCCCGGGTTAGATGATGCTAGCCTCAGTGTTAGATGAAGGCACTGCCCAAGCCGTGCCTGGCTCTGTTCCAGACATCGTCCTCAACTTCCGCACAACGTACGTGAACAAGAAAGGTGAGGTGGTCTCCAACCCGCGCTACATCGCCACCAACTACCTAAAGGGCTGGTTCATCGTGGATCTGCTGGCGGCGCTGCCGTTCGACCTGCTGTTCGCGGCGGACGTCTACAGCTCGGTGAGCCGCTGGCCAGCTGCCCGGTGACGAGATCACGGCCGCCACCGCTCGTGACGCCCGGTGCCGCGTCGGCAGCGGACGCCGGCGAGAGTGAAGGAGCGCGAGGGCCCTTTGGGGAGCATCATCAATCGTTCGCAGCAGACACGTAGCAGAGCGCTGTTTTCGAACATGAACATTGGGGTTCGCGATATCCGGTGTTGGAACCTCGATGGTAATGTACCGCTGAGGCCGCATGCTGCGGCGGCCCACGTCTCGGACAGACTATGCAGACTAGATGCACGCGCTATCCAGCTTCGTAGCTTGTTGTGGTGGACTCCCGTGTGTGTCGTATCTTGACAATGACGGAAGCGTTGTCAGCTAGCATACAATATTGGACGCCACATGAAGTCGAAAAATGGCACAAGTTTTGTCGGACAAGTTTTAAGTTGAGGTAATACTGGGTACTGCGTATGATGACAAACATTTTTTTTTGAAGTTGAAATGGAAAAACAAGCATTCCTATTTTGTAAAGCATGCATAAGTATCACTGCTCATGTACATAAGTACTTAAGTCGTCATGTTTCGATAACTATCAAACTATCCTTTCTTGCCGCCAAAACCTCTTGAGTTCTGAAGCGGTAAAATCTGCAGATGACTGACCAAAATCTGCATCTTGACGTGGCGCTTAGAGCTAGTTAAAATTGTTAGCATTCCTGCAAAATGTATGGAACACTCCTGAAACGTTTTCAGCTTTTCACATGGGAATTGATCAGGGAAAACGCCTGGCACTGGGCTGATTGGTTTGCCCTGTTTCGCCTGCACATTTCCTGTGCGCAGCGTTGGGAACGCCCAGGGGTCCTGTTAACCTTAACGGGATGGAAATATCATAGTGCAGGGAAATAAGACTGGTGGAAGACCGGCTGACGTAGATCCGATGGAAATAAGACTGGTGGGAGACCGGCTGACGTAGATCCGATGGAAATAAGACTGGTGGAAGACCGGCTGACGTAGATCCGATGGGAATGAGACTGGCGGAAGACGGGCTGGCGTAGATCCGATGGAAATAAGACTGGCGGAAGACCGGCTGACGTAGATCCGATGGAAATAAGACTGGTGGAAGACCAGCTGACGTAGATCCGATGGAAATAATACTAGTGGAAGACCAGCTGACGTAGATCCGACGGAAATAATACTAGTGGAAAACCAGCTGACGTAGATCCGATGAAAGCGATACTAGTGGAAGACCAGCTGACGTAGATCCGATGGAAATAATACTAGTGGGAGACCAGCTGACGTAGATCCGATGGAAGTAATACTAGTGGAAGACAGGCTGACGTAGATCCAATGGAAGTAATACTAGTGGAAGACCAGCTGACGTAGATCCGATGGAAGTAGTACTAGTGGAAGACCAGCTGACGTAGATCCGATGGAAGTAATACTAGTGGAAGACCGGATGACGTAGATCCGACGGAAATAATACTAGTGGAAGACCGGATGACGTAGATTCGATGGGGTGTGCAAGCTTTCACTATTTGGTTGAATGCGGAGTTTACTCACCACGTTCGCGGTATACCTGCTATTAGCTGACAACAACCGGTATGATCATGTGTCCAGGGGGTTTGGGCCTGCCGTACATTGTCACGAGCACATCAAAATTATTTGTACTGCAAAACAGAAGCATAAATAAAATGTTATCCTTTTGTTTTGTTCAATACCGAAGCTCTCATCTATTTTTTCGGCCCTATGCGACCATCCGTAGGGTAAATAATGACCTGTAGAAATTAGGACTGGTTTGCTGGTCTCAATAGGATAAAAAATATTGATTACATAAATTCCGTGAATCACGCACAGGGGTGCGCTTAATTTGTTCGCACCAGCCAAAATGACGGCGGTGTATAGTGTTAGCGAAGCCACGCGTGCATACATTGCCGCCGTGAAGGCGTCAATCCTAGGAAAAAGCATGTAACTATCACCTGTAGGCCTTACTTTAAATGGATTCGTTTTATCAAGTTGGAAGCGCCAGAACCATCCGGATATTTGAAAGTCATGCGCACCGCAGTTCCGGGGAAATCTGTTTTGGTGCGTTATCGCATTATGGCTCATGCTTAGACCGACGCGGTGCAGTGTTTTTGTTAACAATAAATGGAGGCAAAAATTGCAATTCGAACAATAAGTGGATGTCAGGTATTTTGTCTTCGCCTCCGCAGCACAAGATGTCTTTGACTTGCCCAATTTTGGACGAAAAGCGAATGTCCTAGTTTTGTGAGCAGCTGATGCGGCACACAAGGCCGTGTTGCTTCCATGACCATCTTCCTCTTTTTCAGCTCCGACGGGTTCTTAACTTGAAAGACGAGGTACTTAATGCATGGTCTGCCGATTTCAAGTGAACTTCGAACCAACTAACATAGGATACCAGACGGTCATGTTCAAAAAAGTACGCCGAATTGCGTCGTTTCAGGTCTTTAGAAAGGCCATATTCGCAAAATTATGTCTAATTGTATCTTTTGCATTCTTCACGGTGGCTATCATCCCAATAACGTTCCAATATCCAAAATTTGACTCCCGTGGTATTCCTTTGAGCAGTACCAATGGATAATATTTGAATTGAAGGCGACATATGGAAACTCAGTCGTTTGAACATCCCGATCCTGCGGTGTGACATTTCCCTGCTGGGTTTGGGTTTTGCTAAGATCACTGTCACTGGCCTAAATTGTACAACTTGATTTATTGTTTGAAAGAAAATTATCTGACAAGTCACAATCATGTTCCAGATCATGCAGTACCATTTTCAAAACACGGTCACCTGTTTAGTGTGATATTTAGAGACTATTTGAAATCCTCACCCGGTGAGCCAATATCAGGCCGCAGTGAAGCATACCTATTTTTTTAAGATTTATCGATTGACATACAGTAATGATGCTCTTAAGAAGTTCGGTTTCAGGATGGGTTGCAAAATAAGTTTGTGCCTCAAGAGAACTTTGCTTCTGATATATGTGACCTGCCTCGATGAGAGAGGTATTCTTTAGACGCGTGCCTCGAGATCGAATGAACCAAGTGGCACACGCCAATGCGGGTCAGTGTAGACATTTGTGCCTTCACATACGCAACCATGCATAACGCGCGCTTAGTTTCAGCCTGGGCCCTGGGCTCTAGACATTGCACCATGGAAGAGCAAAATGGTGCAATGGCTTCAGTATTTACACGCACAAATATCAGGACTTTTCTTGAGCAAGTTAAAGGAGAAAGGTAGCCTAACATAAACTAAACATTCGAAAGGCATTGAACAGAAACCATTTTCCAAGTGTTCCGGAAGCATCAAGAGAGAATATGTTTCCAAACATGTCCTTTATTTTGCACTAAAATGTGATAAATGGCCGTCTTGTATCTTCCGGAATGTTCTTTTGCGGCATGATGCCTTATTGCATAACTTGCTGAGACTTGGTCATTGCCGTATTTCTGCCCAGATTTTGGTTTCAAACAGCACTTGGCTTAGATGAGTGCCCACTCGCATGACATCGACATCCAATGATGATGTAGTTACTTCCATCTGCATACCAAGAAAGGCACGTTTGCGCCGGGTATGATAACCCGCTCGCACCCCATTCCTCGACACTGAACGTCATCTACCTCGCCCGCCTGGAAGTCCTTGACTGTCTTGGTGCATGGACCCGCCTGTCGCCGGTCGGCACCCGTCTGCTACAGTGAGACACGTGTGGTGTGCTCCTCGTGTGACGCGCGCCCCGTGCACCTCGACCCCGGCGGCCTGGACGAGGTCGAACCGGCGCCGCTCCACAGACACTCAGCGGCCACTCTCTTCCACCTTTGACGTGCGTCCGTGCACCTGGCCTCGGGCGGCCTGGACGAGGTCGGACCGGCGCCGCTCCACAGACACTCAGCGGCCACTCTCTTCTACCTTTGGCCCGCCAGCAGGGTGACGGTGGGCACTCCTCGACGACCTTTGACCCGCTGACAGGGTGACGCTGACCTCGGCCCTGGACTCGCCCGCCTGGCATGTGTCTGTGTGTCGTTCACGTGCTTCTGACAGCTTTCTGCCTTCAGCGACTTCTCCCCTGAAGCTGGCGTGGCAGCTGAAATCAAACATCGATCGAACAGTTTTTATCAGTCACTTAAGGTTTTAAAGTTGCAAATAATGCGCTGCGACTTGTGGTTGCCTCCGTTTCGGCTTTTAATTTATGTAACGTTCTTGTATTTCATCGCAGCATCTTCCGACATACGAGCCTTTTTTCATTCTGTGGCTGTGGCTTTATTTTGTGACATTTGTGGCGCATGTGGCTTGCCCTGGCTGTTTACGTCCGCTGATGTTAGCAGTGTTCCCGTCCAATGTTTTCCAACATTTATGGCACGCTGTGCAGTAATGCACGGACCGAGGTTCAGCCACGGGCAGAGTTATCACTAGTGATCAAGTCTAGTGTCATGGTCAGATTTCTTCAGAATGACTGTCGACGTGATTAAGTTTTTTTTACTCAGCAGTACACCATCAGTTCACCACGCTCACAAATCAGGGTAGATAGTTCACACACGGACAACGTAGAAGGCACTTGAATTCAAATTCCGAACTATCAGCGGTGCTGGTAGCAGGAGGTCCGTGCTTGCAGGTGCGTTTGTGACTTTCGAGCGGGGAGTTACGCTTCCAACATGGCTGTACTAGTGCTCTGTATTGCTGTTGGCGTCACCGCGTGTTCTCCAGAATTCGAAAATATTTTAGCTATTATGCTATCATCCGCTACGTCATGCTGTCATTGGCAAAAGCAGCCAATGCTACGCAATGCTTCAGGAAAGGTCTTCACGAATGTAAACCGCCCTGTAAGTGTCATGCAAATGCAACAACACGATGCTTATGAAATAATCCACGCGTCACCAAAAGTGACATGAATCTTCCTCACTTAACCCCGGAAATAAGCCCTTTCAGCGAGCTTTGGCTTCACCAGGTCAATCACTCCAGGTAAACTCGATGTCCGTGGAACAGCACTCGTGCGACGCGCGGTGTTGACGGAAGCCCTAGCTTCGAACAAGCATGCGGCTGTAGCGGGAGTCAGCCGGCCTGGGTCAGAGCCGCCGCTGCTGACCGCCGACTCCACACGCCGCCGAATAGAGCTGCAGCGTTCGCAGACAGATGTGCTCAAATCGCGCCGACGCCCTGACAGTTAGGCACGGACGGTTCGGCAGGGAAGTCCCGATTGCATGCAGTGCTATTTTCAGCGTAGCTCCGAGTGCTGAAAGCGAAGAGCTTCAGAATTTTCGTTTGCATATCGCTGAGTATTGTAGCGTGTATAGCATTCGAAGGGCCCACCACATTATAACAGCGTTACTTTATATGCGCTCCGGTATTCAGTTATGTGCCTTACTCTCGTCTCGATATGTAACTGTCATTTTTGCAGCTCGCGCAGTACTTTGTACTACTGTTAACTTGAAATGTCACCTCGTGGTATATTGCTGCATATTCCATCAAAATAGTTGTAGGTAAAATGCATTGTCGGACCTGACCACCTGAATAGCGTTAACGAATATAAGTGCATAATTTGGTTCACTATGTGATCTGTCTGTAAAATATCTTTCCGAGGACTCAGTTCAATGATTATTTGAATTTCATTTTTACAAAGACGTTTGTTGCGCCGATTTACTGTGCACAGTTCTCATGAGATTTACTGTGCACAGTTCTCATGAGATTTACTGTGCACAGTTCTCATGAGATTTGCTGTGCACAGTTCTCATGAGATTTTCGTAAGGTATCAAAAACGTCTTACCGGCAGTGGCTCGCTGATAGCGTGTCATGGTTCCCCAAGGAGTCGAACGCTGTCTCTAAATGCTTGGAGGCTGCTCCTGGCACAAAAGCTTCTCGTATTGGATGCTACTGGGATAACCCACTGGGATTCCATCCACTCGTTCCGATGTTTACTTTGGGATCGAACCATCGGACGAGCAGAGCCCCGGCTTCTTCCAAAGCCAATAGCACCAGATCTCACTTGCCGGAAAGCGCGCTGTCTCAGCCACTAGCTCTGTAGGGATCCTTTAGTTACCATCGATGCAGAAACGTTGTCACAGTTGGCATCTGAGATTTTGATAGCGCGGGTGCGTGTAATCGACAGCTCTTATCACACCCGGGAGTGAATGTTGCACTGCACGTTTGCATATCGCGAGAAACACTCGGAACGATTTCGTGCGAGTTTCTGCGAAGCTAAATAGAATAGAAACGGTTATTTCAACTGAAGCCAACGAGAGACATCCCAGCAGCAGTCTAGAGAAAGTTTTCCTGTAATCCTGCACTTGTCACTTACCACGTTCGCTTATGGAGCACACCAGGAAGATAGCGTGAGGCATCCTAGCACTGTGCATATATAACGCTCCTTCAGGCTGCATGCGTAGGTAGTTCCAGAAAATGTGTCACTCAGTTATTCATGAGGCGCAGACTGAGCCCGCTAATGGAATCTTCTTGTGGATGGCGTAGTTAACACAAGATAGAATGCGCCTTTGTCTCCCCCCCCCCCTCTCCTTCCCCTTCCCCTCTCCATCCCTCTACCCCGCACCTCCCCACGCCCCTCTGCCCCGCACCGGTCCCGGGCTCTGAACCTGTGCTTCGGTCGGCCGCAGGAGACTCCGATCCACCTGCTGAAGCTGACGCGCTTGCTACGGCTGGTGCGACTCCTGCAGAAGATCGACCGCTACACCCAGTACAGCAGCATGATACTGACACTGCTACTCGTGCTGTTCTCGCTGGCTGCTCATTGGCTGGCCTGCGTGTGGTACGTGCTGGCCGACCGGGAGCGCCAGCAGCACTCCGCCGACTGGGACATTGGTGAGTGCCCTCGGACCAGGACACCGGTGAGAACTCTCAGACCGGGACATTGGTGAGTGCCCTCGGACCAGGACACCGGTGAGAACTCTCAGACCGGGACATTGGTGAGTGCCCTCGGACCAGGACACCGGTGAGAACTCTCAGACCGGGACATTGGTGAGTGCCCTCGGACCAGGACACCGGTGAGAACTCTCAGACCGGGACATTGGTGAGTGCCCTCGGACTAGGACACCGGGACGTCGGTGAGTGCCCTCGGACCAGGACACCGGTGAGAACTCTCAGACCGGGACATTGGTGAGCGCCCTCGGACCAGGACACCGGTGAGAGCTCTCAGACCGGGACGTCGGTTAACACCCTCGGACCAGGACACCGGTGAGAACTCTCAAACCGGGACATCGGTGAGCGCCCTCGGACCAGGACACCGGTGAGAACTCTCAGACCGGGACGTCGGCGAACACCCTCGGACCAGGACACCGGTGAGAACTCTCAGACCGGGACGTCGGTGAACACCCTCGGACCAGGACACCGGTGAGAACTCTCACACCGGGACGTCGGCGAGTGCCCTCGGACAGGGAAATTGGTGAGTGTCTGCAGACTGAAGCGTCAATGAGAGCCTCTAGACTGGAATCTCAGTGAGTGTTTCCATATTCGACAAAGTTGGTCTGGACTTGACTGAACCTCGATCTATTGTCCTTTGCAGAATAACAGTGTAGTGACAACTGAACTGATTCGACAGTTATTCGAGATATACATATGTTTAATGTATTTTCCACTCAGTGTCACATTATTATTTTTTATCATCATGGTGCGCGTGTGTATGTGTGTGTATGTGTGTTATAGCTATGATAGCAACTATTGACTGCTAGGCTCTACAAGCCTGCCAACATTGGTTAGAATTACGTTGTATGACTATGTAAACTTATATAGCTACTTTTTAAGATACATTCTGAAGCATTAAAGGTAATGTTAAAAACCTTTCCATAGTTTTTAGTTAGCATTTGAATTATATCCGCATGATGTCAACCGTTTGTGTATATACTGTGCTTTGTATGATCGTCTAATTGTTTGATATATACTGTCCGTGGTGCGTAATCTCTACTGCAGGACACTCGGTGGAAGGGTGTTTTGCAGCTGAACGCTGCAGTGTTCATCATGATCCCGTATACGTATCTTGCGTGACTGCATATAGGTATAATGCTCCGCTCCGGTGATCTGGCGAATAACAAGTGATTACGTATGCCAGGTGGTGCTTGGTTGTGTGACATGTCAACGAACTCCTTGCTGCGTGCTTGGAATGGTGCATGGGTTGTTGTTTTCGCAACTTCCAAACAAGATGAGCCTTGTTGGAGACTTTTCTGTCTGGTAACGTTATAAGCAGTCGCCAGGTGCTCGCCGTATCTCATGGATTGGAGGCTTGGTGGAGGTCATTTCCTGGCGATGCGACGGTCGCCGAGGTGACTGCGGCGCTGAACATGTCCAGTCCGTTTACCTGGCGATGTGACGGTCACCTAGGTGACTATGGCCCTGAGCATGTCGAGTCCGTTTACCTGGCGATGTGACGGTCACCTAGGTGATTACGGCGCTGAACATGTCCAGTCCGTTTACCTGGCGATGTGACGGTCACCTAAGTGACTACAGCGATGAGCATGCCGAGTCCGTTTACCTGGCGATGTGACGGTCACCTAGGTGACTACGGCCCTGAACATGTCCAGTCCGTTTACCTGGCGATGTGACGGTCACCTAGGTGACTACGGCGCTGAACTTGTCCAGTCCGTTTACCTGGCGATGTGACGGTCACCTAGGTGACTATGGCCCTGAGCATGTCGGGTCCGTTTACCTGGCGATGCGACGGTCACCTAGGTGATTACGGCGCTGAACATGTCCAGTCCGTTTACCTGGCGATGTGACGGTCACCTAAGTGACTACAGCGATGAGCATGCCGGGTCCGTTTACCTGGCGATGTGACGGTCACCTAGGTGACTACAGCGATGAGCATGCCGAGTCCGTTTACCTGGCGATGTGACGGTCACCTAGGTGACTACGGCGCTGAACATGTTCAGTCCGTTTACCTGGCGATGTGACGGTCACCTAGGTGACTTCAGCGCTGAACATGTCCAGTCCGTTTACCGGCCGTAGTAGCCCGTCTGTGTGCCGAAGTGCGCGGGCGTTGAACAGTATACACCTGATGGATGAGTGCGATGACAAATTTTTGGTGGGGATATACAGCTGTTGCTTATAGTGGTTATCTGGTGGGCGTCATCGCTCAGCGAGTTACGAAACCGCCTGGCTACTGTAGTCGTCGTTAGGAAAGAAAGGATCGGTTCGCGGCTGATGACATCGAATCGTTTGCTTATATCATTCGGGGTGAGAGTTCAGAGCCGTCTGTTTACTGCTGGGAAACCGTTTTTCGAACAAGAGGAGCTGCGAACGGTTTAGCCACGTGGAACGGTGCGGTATGGAAGTCGTACGAAAATGGAGTGTGACAGGTTGGGAAGATATGGTCTAAAATCATTCGCGCTAAGGCGACACGAATTTGGGCATTATACTGAATAAGGAAATGCAAGACAACCACAACACAGTGGACTTAATTTGTGAGCGCGACAGCGGGCGCCAGTTATGTGCGTGTTTACGATGTCTGACGACCAGGGTCGACATTTTTGTGTCAAAACCTGCTGGAAAGCGTGGCACTAATTAGTATTTTGACGTTCTGGAAGCGACAGAACTTAAAAGGATGTCATTAGCTATTCCCGGCGCGGCGCGGGGCGGCATCCTGTGCGGTAATGACTGTCGTCCTCCCATCGGTCGGAAGTCGCTCCAGGCGACGTCTGGCGATGGGCCCAATCGACACGATCTGCCACATTATGTACCACTGGCAGCCATTTTGGCATAAACGGCGCCGTGAGACTTTGTCAATCTTTATCCTCAGATCGCCAGAAACCGGGCTCTCGAGTACATGATTTTCGTATCTGCAAATTTCAGGGCAACCTTTAATCTTTATCCGCGCGTTTGTGAAACATCTTTATTTGCATGTTTCTTGCACCGCTTGCTTCTGATAACATGCAGATTTAACTGGATTTTGTTGAGTGTGCCAAATCAAATCAAAATAGTTCATGAAATAACTAGACGCCCCCAAGACATTGCCTGTCTCCTCAGATTACCTAGGGGAGGGGGAGGAGGACGCCCACGTCATCATTATCAGCATCATTATCACAACACCGCACGGGCGGAGAGGAGAGGCGGCCATGTTGAGCCCCATGTGCGGCTCAACATGGCCGCCGGTTGGGGCCAGCCGTGTCTGCCCGGCTGTTGTCTCGGCTTAGGCCCTGGAGAGGAGCGCCCCATGTGCGGCTCAGCATGGCCGCCGCCAGCCACGTCTGCCCGGCTGTTGTCTCGGCTTAGGCCCCGGCTTGCAGCGCCGTGTAGTGTGACCTGACCTGCTGGCCTACTGTGAGAGCCCCGGATCCCGAACGCCGCGCTGATGCCAGCCCTGAGGCTCTCATACCGAGCGGCGACAGTCAACACCGAGGCTAGACAGGCCGGTGCCATCGCGCCCCAACAATCAAATTTGTTCTGGCACTAAGTAGATTGGATTAGGCGGCACTCATGCGAACGTCCACCTTTGATGAAGATACAAAATCTTACGGTCGGCAGGGGTCTCTGTTATCAGTCTGAAGCACCTCCGTTATAAGTATTAAAAACTTGCTACAGGTATAAATTTGGCACTTGGAAACAAGTTCGAAAGGCTTTGGAACGTGCGGCCGACTTGCATGGCGAGGAGACCCTAAGACCTAATTCACAGTATGCGCCTAAGGTCTGTTGTTACGCAAGACTCGCACGCTCGGCCTAATGCCACTTCTTCCAAAGTTCAGACCAATAAGCACTCTTCAAAGTAATTGTGTTTTCAGAACGGCATGAAGGTGCAACGTCTGGTCAGTTCCTAGGAGTGTCATGGCTTTGAAGGGAGCCCGTAAGCATCTGAAGCGCAGGGCTGTGAGTGCGCCGCTGTTCTGGGCTGGCCCGGACACGGGGGGTCGGCGAGAGGTCAGGCTAGGCGGCCGCCGCTGCTTGGTCAAAGGTCAGTAGGTGTTGATCAGTGGTGGCCAGATTTCGCAGCGGATAAATATAGAACACGGGACAAATTGACGTTACCTCTTCCATCAGGACGTTAGGGTATAGGCTGTGTTTGTATTGACCACGACTTTAATAGGCTCCTCGATGTCTCACATTGCGAAATCGCAAAACTGTCACCCAAGCATCTGTCTTGTTTTCGGTGCATCGAATTCATTATTTTATATACATTCCATTCATTTGCACCGAATCGTGGAAATTATTAACGGTCTTAGCTGCGATAGAACCGCTGCTAATGCCGAGGGAATTTCTAGTGTAAAGTGTGACGCGTTCCTCGTCGAACGTCGGGCGTGGGAGCCGAGCGTCGATTTACCTGACGCGCGTCAGCGTCTGCGCTTCTCAAATGCAAACGGCGAGGAGGTGTGGACGCCGCAGCTTCGCGAAGGCAGTGTGCTTGCCTCAGTGGCGAGTTGGCGACTGGCTGTGGAAGTTCCCTGATGCCACCTATAGGCTGACGCTATCTGACGCCGGCCGCGGCTCTGCATGTGCCTGTCCCAGCTGTGACCAGGAGTTTCCAATAGCAGCCGCGTGCTGCTGGAGCGTGACGGCTATTCTCGGCCAGGGAAAACTAGTGTTGGAAAGGGCTCCCAGCCGGGTAAATGTTTGATCTCCTAGTGGCAGTTGGCAGGATCGCAAAATGAGCTTGGTTGTTGTTCGCTGCGAGCTGCATCACGAGATGTACCCTGCTGCGTGACGTGAGGTGTCAGGGATGTGGTCACACAACCAGGAGTCGGGCGTCCGTCTGGACGGCGCTGCGTGACGTGAGGAGTCAGGGACGTGGTCACACAACCAGGAGTCGGGCGTCTGACTTCCTCATGGTTCGCCGGCTACAAAACCAATGTTGCTGTCGTGCGGCTTATAACCGAAAAAAG